CCGCGTGCGCCTGCACTCCGCCGGGCCTCCCAGGCGCCCACGGATGTGGCCACGGTTGCCCACGTTCGCAGCCCCCCAGGGAGCAGCGCGGTCCAGGCTGGGCCTGCGCAATCCCCCCCCCCCCATCTCCGCTGCGCGCCCAGAGAGCCCACGAACGCGGTGACGGCTGCGCAGCTCGCCGCACCCCAGGGAACAGCACGAGGTCCCGCCTGGGTGCGCGTACTTCCCCATGCCGCTGCGCCTCGCAAGAGCCCACGAACGTGGCGTCCATCGCGCAGGTCGCAACCCCCCCAGGGAGCCGCCAAAGACCCGCTTTGATCCGCGCACTCTCCCACTCCGCTGGACCTCCAAAGAGCCCGCGAGAGCGGCGACAATTGCCCAGTTCGCAGCCCCCCACGGAGCCGCGAGGTCCCGTCCGGGTCTGCGTACTCCCCATTCACGGCTGGACCTCCCACAAGCTCACGAGCGCGGCAACGGTTGCGCAGCTCGCAGCCTCCCAAGGAACCGCGGGGTCCCAAAGGGGCCCGCGAGTGCCTCCACTCCGCTGGACCTCCCAGGAACCCACGAACGTAGCAACAATTGCCCAGTTAGCAATCACCTCAGGGAGCAACGAGGTCCCGTCTGGGTCTGCGTACCCCCCGACTTCGCCATGCCTCGAGGAGCCCACGACCGTGGTAAAACTTGCGCAACCCGCAACCACCCAGGGACCAACAAGGTCCCTTTGGGTTTGCGTACTCCTCGACTCCGCCATGCCTCTCATAAACCAACGAAACTGGCGACAATTGCGCAGCTCGCAGCCACTTAGGGGGCAACGCGGTCCCGCCTGTGTCTGCGATACTCCCCGACTCCGCCGTGCGTCGCAGGAGCCCGCACAACTGGCGACGAATGCGAAACTCGCAACCACCCAAGCATCAGCAACATCCCGTCTGGGTCTGTGCACTCCACGACTCCGCCTTGCCGCGCCTCACACCATCCACAAACATTGCTGCAAGTGCGCAATTCGCAACCACCCAGGGAGCAGCGAGGTCCCGCCTGGGTCTGCGTTTTCCCCGACTCCGCCATGCCTCCCACGCGCCCACGAAAGTGGCGACACTTGCGCAACTCGTAACCACCCAGGGAGCAACGAGGTCCCGTCTGGGTCCGCGTACTCCCCGACTCCACGGTGCCCCCACAAGACCTGCGAACATGATGACAATTGCGCAAGTCGCAGCCGCAACAAACTCAAAACAACAACCCAACACAGGAGGGTCTGGAATAAAGCACGAGGTAGGAGGCAGGCAGGAAGAGGAGGATGAAGAGGAGACGTCGCGACCTCAGTCAGTACTCTAGTCTTCACGAGAGACCGACGCAAGAAGGTTGGGGAAATATCATGACGCTGGGGGTCTGGGTCATGGACCTCTGAAGATCTCGTCAAACTGCCGTTGACGACTGCTGCCGATCTCTCGCGAACTCCGAGGGGTCCCAACGATACCAGCTGCGGGACTACTAGCTAGCCCTCTGGGCTCGGGACAGCACTGTCCCCATTCGTGGGCATGTCCAGAAAACAATTGTGGGAGGGGACCCTTCGGGGGGCGGGAGGTGAGGCAGGACGGGAGCGGGAGGAGGAGGAGGAGGAGGAGGAGGAGGGATGAGGGAGGAGGAAGAGGAGGAGGAAGAGGAGAAGGAGGAGGAGGAGGAGGAGGAGGAGGGGGAGGAGGAGAAGGAGGAGGAAGAGGAGGGATAGGATTGTTTGCCGCAGCGCAGCATGCAGCCCGCACATCACCTAAGGGGGGGTGGGCGAGACCCCCGAGGCAACAAACAAAAAACACAGACCGACCTCTAACAAGCAGGCTCGAAGCTTATACCCGCGCACACAGGCTGGGCGAGCAGAACCAAAAGGTGAAGTCCTGCCTGGCGCCACCAGGGCAGGACGGGGGCCGTTCTGGACCAGAACGGCCCCGTTCTAAACCAGAACGGCCCCGTTCTAGCCAAGAGCGGGCCCGTTCTAGGCTAGAACGCGCGGGTGCTGTCTCGGGGCAACCCTGGTACAGGACCCGACCAGCGACTCCACCAAACACCCAGACAAATATGGGATAGTCCCCTAAAGGTCTGAACAGTGCCGCTGCCACCGCGGCGAGGGAAGCAGCGTGCTGGCACAAGCCAGCAACGCACAATAAGAAACGAACGGCGAAGTCCAGGCACCACAAGGTAGGGCGGGGTGGGTACTGACTCGGGGCCACCCCCGAACAGGACCCGACCCCCGACCCCACCATCTGACCAAACAGATATGGAGCAAGCTCCGAAATGCCTAATCCGTGTCGCTGTCCCCGCGGTGAGGAATGGTGCGTGCTGGCTCTGGCCAACGACGCCCAAATCCACAGGCAGGCTCGAAGTGGCAGCCGAGAGGAAGCGCTGGGCCAAATCGGCCAAATCGTGAGCCTCCTCCTCCTCCAAGGCCGAGACGGGGGGGGGGAAGGAGGAAGAGGAGGAGGAAGAGGAGGAGGAGGAGGAAGAGGAGGAGGAGGAGGAAAGGGAGAAGGAGGAGAGAGACAGGGCGGAGGCTTGATGCAGTGCATGCGCCTTCGTGCCCAAGCCAGTCGGGCGCATACGCCGATCCTCGGACCAGGATGAGCAAGGCCAGGATCGGCGTAGGCGTAGAGTTGGCGCCCTTCTATCGAAGGAAGGCACCAACTTCAGAAACATGACATATCAGAGAACAGGGAGGAGGCAGGAGGGAGGAGTGGGAGGATGAGGAGGGAAGGAGGAAGAGGAGGCGAAGAAGTAACGAGGAGAAGAGGGAGAATGAGAAGAAGGATGTGCAGGCAGTGAAGGAGAAGGAACAGGAGGATCATGAGCAGCGGAATGCGGGAGATAGAAAACGCAGCGGGAAGAAGAGGAAAGGATGAGCGGGACGAGGATCATGAGGGAAAAGGAGGGGGGGAGGACGAGCAGAAGAACGAGGAAGAGCAACCCTACGTATACCACACTCCCCCTTCTCCTCCCGCTCCCCGTCTTCATGGGAGGGGGGAGGACTCAGGAGGAGCGAAGCGGAGTGGAGTCCATTCCATAATCTGGATTCGAAAAGACCTCAACAAGGGGAGACGTAAAACTCGAGTTTGGGGGACTCGAACTTGCCTGACGGGACCTGCTCTGGAACTTGACGTGACCTCCCGCTGCAAACATCTCACGGAACTGGACCATCAGAGTCCACTCTGAGACCCTCAAGACTCGGCGGCGAGCAACATTCCCGAATTCCAGCAAACTCGACCCTGGCCGTTCTCCCGAAAACCTGCTGCGCCCGACTGCAGCCCCCCGGACCTGCAAGCCGAACGCGACAAAGTACTCGTGAAGCTTTCATCATTACCGAATCAATATGATCCAATACCGAATCGAATCGGAATGTGCGTCGGACTGGGCTGCACGGCACGGAGTGGAAATTGAAACGGATGGGTCGCGCCAGGCAGCTAAACGGCGTCACGCAAACATTGACCCACACCTGGGTGGTCGGAATACCCAAGCCGAGCCGGATGGAGCACAGCCGGACTCCATACCACATCCGGCCGATTGCACAGAGATGGGCCACGCCAATGTCGCACCCAAACGCCCGATGTGTTGATTTGTTCAATATGGGAACAACAAGGACAGGCGACACCAACACCAGCAGGGCGAGGAGGTGCGAGGAGGCTAGGGGAGTCTCCCCGGTGGTGTGCCCCCCCCCCCCCCCTCTCGCTCGAGACGTCCCCAGCATCCAGCTCGGGGAGGCATCGCGGACCTCCTCCCTGGAGGTGGGCCCCCTGGTGGTGGTGGTGTCGCCTCTCCTCCCTCCGACAGTACGGGGTCCACGCAGGTCCCCCCTCCCCCTCCCCCTCCTCCGCTCCTCTCCCCTCTACTCTTCCTCCTTCTTCTCTCCTCCTCCCCCTCCCCATCCCCCCTCACCCCTCACCCTCCCTCCTCCCCCTCCCCCTCCCCCTCTCCTCCTCCTCCTCCTCCTCCTCCTCCTCCTCCTCCTCCCCCTCCTCCGCCTCCTCCCGCCTCCTACTCCGCTCCTTCTTCTCCTCCTCCTCCTCCACCCCTCCCCCTCCCCCCTCCCACCTCCCCCTCCCCTCCCCCTCCCCCTCCTCCCTCCCCCCCCCCTCCCCCTCCCCCTCCCCCTCCCCCCTCCCACATCCCCCTCCCCCTCCCCCTCCCCCTCCCCCTCCCCCTCCCCCTCGCCCCCTCCCCCTCCCCCTCCCCCTCCCCCTCCCCCCTCCCCCCTCCCCCTCCCCGTCCCCGTCCCCTCGCCCCTCCCCCTCGGCCGCCCCCCCTCGACCCCTCCCCCTCCCCCTCCGCCCTCCCCCTCCTCCTCCCTACCTCCCTCCTCCTCCTCCTCCTCCCCTCCTCCTCCTCCTCCTCCTCCTCCTCCTCCTCCTCTCCTCGTACCTCCTCGTCCTCCTCGTCCTCGTCCTCCTCCTCCTCCTCCTCCTCCTCCTCCTCCTCCTCCTCGTCCCTCCTCGTTCCTCACTCGTCCTCCTCGTCCTCCTCGTCCTCCTCCTCCTCCTCCTCCTCCTCCTCCTCCTCCTCCTCTCCTCCCTCCTCCCTCCTCCTCCTCCTCCTCCTCCTCCTCCTCTCTCCCCACATACCTGGCTCCTCGGGGCGTCGCCCGGCTCTCTCCGGCGGCCCGCCGGGACGACCCAGGCACACCTCCGGGGACGCCCCACGGCGAGGCTCCGCTGCCGGAGAGCACCTCGCGAGGCTGGGAAGCCGCCGAGGACCAAGGAGAGCACCCGAGCACCTCGAACCCACGAGGTATTGCAGTCGAAACTCAAACCTCGAAGCTCTCGTCTGCAGGGGCCCTGGGACACACAAAAAGATAGACACGAATAACCGGACTCCCCACGTTTTGTCCGTGTATTTTCTGCGCGTTCGTCCTCCCCCCCACTTCCCATATCTTCCCATATGTTCTGGGGAATCGACGATGAATTGTGTCTGTGTGTGTGTTTTTCCCCTCCTGAGCTTCCTCCCGTCGAGGTAGCGGCGGCGTCCTGCGCGCCAGGCGCGTCGCGGTGCTCGAGTCCTGAGAGCGGGCCGGTGGCGAGCCCTGCCAGGAAGGAGAGGCCTCCCAGGTGGGCTCGGGATAGGCGGGTCGACGTGTTCCACTTGCAGTCGAGGTACTATCAGAAGGAACGCTGAATAGGGAACGAAGCCCCTTCTTGGCCCCAGGAGCGCCTAGGTGCACGAGGAGTGATGGAGGACGAGCCATGGAAGAGCTCAAGGAACAGCGAGCCCCTTTCCGCACCCGAGGCGTTCCTTATTTCGGCGTCGTGGCTGTATGTTGGTCTTCATTTCAAATGCCTTCTTGCCGATGCACCGTCTAGGCGCGGCTTCTCGCGTGCAGATGAGGTGCGAGGGTCGCGCCGCATTGCCGTTTCATCGACGATACATCGGCGATGCATCGACGATGCATCAGCGACGTCGGCGGTGCATCTGCGACGCCAGCGTAGAGAAAAGAATGTGCCACATCGAGCCGCATCGCCGATGCATCGGCGAGGCGGCGCGATCCTGCAACAACATCTATTCCGATCCCATCTGGGACGCCCAGGGGAATGCAGAGGGATCGGGCCTTCTCAGAAGGCTCGGAAGGCCCCGGGCCCTCAGAGACGGCTTCTCAGGAGGCCTTCTCTGGCGGAAAGAGACGGCTCCTCAGGAGGCCCGAGGGCAGCTGAGCAGCCCCGCTGCCTTCTACGAAGGTTGCCTCCTCCCACTTCCCCCGTGGGTTCGCCGGCGGGGGGGTCGGGAGCGGCCAAGAGGGGGGTGTCCAAGAGGGAGGGTGCAAATCATGACCGGCGGCATCTACGCGGCCCCGCGGGGGGGCCGGGGACGTAATGAAATTACTCACTGCGTGGAGCTCCCCATATGTGCATCTCATGTTTTATTCCCCATATCCTAAGATAGGGGTTCTTGTTATGACTTGGACGCCTCCTACTCTTCCTTCCTCCTCCTCTTTCCTCCTCCCCTCCTCATACTCAGACTTACTCATACTCAGACTTACTCACACTCAGAACTTTCTCATACACAGACCTACTCATACCCAGACTTACTCATACACAGACTTACTCATACACAGACTTACTCATACTCAGGCATACTCATACTCAGACCTACTCATACTCAGACTTACTCAACACACATCAGATTTGGAGGATGTCTCAAGCGGGGCGCTGGTTTCAGCAACCCTAAGGGGAGCCGCCAGGGGTGGTTGCACGGGCTCGTTCGCGGCCATTTTGTGGGGATGTCTCAGGCGGTTTGCGTGTTTCTGGGCCCAACATCCTTCGCTTTCGGAACAGATTTGGAGGATGTCTCAGGCGGGGCGCTGGTTTCAGCACCCCTAAGGGGAGCCGCCAGGGGTGGTTGCACGGGCTCGTTCGCGGCCATTTTGTGGGGATGTCTCAGGCGGTTTGCCTGTTTCTGTGCCCAACATCCTTCGCTTTCGGAGAAGATTTGGAGGATGTCTCGAGCGAGGCGCTCATTTTCACCCCCCTTGGGCCAGATTGAGGATGTCTCGATCGGTTTTTGGGGGGCTTGTTTTTGGTGGCCAGCTCGTGGACCCTAAGGGGAAACCGCCAGGGTGGGGGTGGTTGCACGGCTCGTTCGCGCCCTATTTTTCGGGATGTCTCGAGGCGTTTGCTCGAAGCTGCCTTCAACATCCTTCGCTTTCGGAGCAGTTTTGGAGGATGTCTCGAGAGAGGCGCTCATTTTCACCCCCCAGGTGGGTGAGGATGTCTCGATCGGTTTGCCTGTTTTGGTGGCCAGGCTCGTGGCCCTAAGGGGAGCCGCCAGGGGTGGTTGCACGGGCTCGTTCGCGGCCATGTTGTGGGGATGTCTCAAGCGGTTTGCTTGTTTCTGTGCCCAACATCCTTCGCTTTCGGAGCAGATTTGGAGGATGTCTCGAGCGAGGCGCTCATTTTCAACCCCCAGGTGGGCCAGATTTTGAGGATGTCTCGATCGGTTTGCTTGTTTTGGTGGCCAGGTTCGTGGGCGCAGATTCTTCTCAGGATGCCACAGGAGGCTCCAACAGGCTCCAGGAGGCCCCAGGAGACCACATGAGGTCCCAGGAGGCATCAGGAGGCCACAGAAAGACTCAAGAGGCCATAGGATGTCCCAAGAGGCTCCAGGAGGCCCCAGGAAGCTCCAGAAGGCATCAGGAAACCACAGGAGACCCCAGGAGACAACAGGAAGCGCCAGGAGGCCTCGAAAGGCAACAGGAGGCCCCGAGAGGCCCCAGGAGCAGGAGGCCTCAGAAGGCAACAGGAGTGGCTCCAATCCCATGTGTTTTACGTATGCTCCTATCGATTGGGCCTCACCTGGAGCATGATTCTTTGGTGTTCTACGTGTTTATATATATATATATATATATATATATATATCCCCATATCCTAAGATGGGGTTCTTGTTATTACTTGGACGCCTCCTACTCCTCCTCCTTCCTCCTCCTCTTTTCTCCTCCCCTCCTGTCGGGCTTACTCATACTCAGACTTGCTCATACTCAGACTTACTCATACTCAGACTTACTCATACTCAGACCTACTCATACTCAGACTTACTCACACTCAGACATACTCATACACAGACTTACTCATACACAGACTTACTCACACCCAGCCGTACTCATACACAGACTCACTCATACCCAGACTTACTCATACACAGTATTAGTCATACTCAGACTTTCTCATACCCAGACGTACACATACACAGACTTTATCATACACAGACCTACTCATACCCAGACTTACTCATACACAGACTTACTCATACACAGACTTACTCATACTCAGCACCCCTAAGGGGAGCCGCCAGGGGTGGTTGCACGGGCTCGTTCGCGGCCATTTTGTGGGGATGTCTCAGGCGGTTTGCCTGTTTCTGGGCCCACCATCCTTCGCTTTCGGAGCAGATTTGGAGGATGTCTCGAGCGAGGCGCTCATTTCAGCACCCCTAAGGGGAGCCGCCAGGGGTGTTTGCACGGGCTCGTTCGCGGCCATTTTGTGGGGATGTCTCAGGCGTTTTGCTTGTTTCTGGGCCCAACATCCTTCGCTTTCGGAGCAGATTTGGAGGATGTCTCGAGCGAGGCGCTCATTTCAGCACCCCTAAGGGGAGCCGCCAGGGGTGGTTGCACGGGTTCGTTCGCGGCCATTTTGTGGGGATGTCTCAGGCGGTTTGCCTGTTTCTGTGCCCAACATCCTTCGCTTTCGGAGCAGATTTGGAGGATGTCTCGAGCGAGGCGCTCATTTTCACACCCCAGGTGGTCCAGATTTTGAGGATGTCTCGATCGGTTTGCTAGTTTTGGTGGCCAGGCTCGTGGGCGCAGATTCTTCTCAGGATGCCACAGGAGGCTCCAACAGGCTCCAGGAGGCTCCAGGAGACCACATGAGGTCCCAGGAGGCATCAGGAGGCCACAAAAAGACTCAAGAGGCTACAGGATGTCCCAAGAGGCTCCAGGAGGCCCCAGGAAGCTCCAGAAGGCCTCAGGAAACCACAGGAGGCCCCAGGAGGCAACAGGAAGCGCCAGGATGCCTCGGAAGGCAACAGGAGGCCCCGAGAGGCCCCAGGAGCAGGAGGCCTCAGAAGGCAACAGGAGTGGCTCCAATCCCATGTGTTTTACGTATGCTCCTATCGATTGGGCCTTACCTGGAGCACGATTCTTTGATGTTCTACGTATGTTTCTATAGATGGTCCTTCTCCTGTGTACACAATCCTAATGTTTTACTCATGTTCCTATATATTGGGCCTCTCCTGGGGCACGAGTCCTTGGTGTTTTACGCGTGTTCCTATATATTGCCCTTCTCCTGTGGCTCTAATCCGCAATGTTTTATGTACGTCTGTTGCTATAGATTGCGCCTCTCCTGGGGCACGAAACCTTCCTAGGAGGTCCCAGGAGGTCCCAAGAGGCTCCTGGAGACCCCAGGAAGCCCCAGTAGGTTTCAGGAGGCCCCAGGAGGCCCCAGGCTCATGCACAGAGACGCGCTCGTACTACTGAGGCTCATGCACACTCCAATTCATTCGCAGTTAGATTGATGTCCAGACCGTCACAACTGAAGCCCGTTAATATTCGAAAGCTCTTGCGCCTAGACATTCACGGCGGACAGGTCCATGCGAGTAGATGCACATATGGGGAGCTCCACGCAGTGAATAATGTCCTTCTCCTGTGTAGGCAATCCTACTTGTTTTACTTTTGTTCCTATATATTGGGCCTCTCCTGGGGCACGAGTCCTTGGTGTTTTACGTGTGTTCCTGTAAACCCATATACAATATTACCTTTTTAAAAAAGGATGCACATATGGGGAGCTCCACGCAGTAAGTAATGTCATGCCGTGGTGAGCGTCTGTTCATGAGCGGTCGACTACAGTAGCGCGTCCACATGGGCGACAGGGCCGACGAAGACGAGTCACCCCTAATGCGAGTGATTGCGTATGAGTCAGAGTGAGCTTTGAGTATGGTTGCCTCTTCCTTCTCAACCCTGGTTCCCCAGGGCGCGTTTCACCACTTTTGGAGGCGCAGCCCCGCCGGCGATGTTGGGCATGAAAACAAGCAAACCGCCTGAGACATTCCCACAAACTGACCGCGAACGAGCCCGTGCAACCACCCCTGGCGGCTCCCGTTGGGGGTGCTGAAACCAGCGCCCCGCCTGAGACATCCTCACAATCTGCTCTCCAAGCGAAGGATGTTGAGCCCAGAAACAGACAAACCGCCTGAGACATCCCCACAAACTGACCGCGAACGAGCCCGTGCAACCACCCCTGGCGGCTCCCCTTAGGGGTGCTGAAACCAGCGCCCCGCCTGAGACATCCTCACAATCTGCTCTCCAAGCGAAGGATGTTGAGCCCAGAAACAAGCAAACCGCCTGAGACATCCCCACAAAATGGCAACGAACGAGCTCGTGCAACCACCCCTGGCGGCTCCCCTTAGGGGTGCTGAAACCAGCGCCCCGCCTGAGACATCCTCACAATCTGCTCTCCAAGCGACGGATGTTGAGCCCAGAAACAAGCAAACCGCCTGAGACATCCCCACAAAATGGCCGCGAACGATCCCGTGCAACCACCCCTGGCGGCTCCCCTTAGGGGTGCTGAAACCAGCGCCCCGCCTGAGACATCCTCACAATCTGCTCTCCAAGCGAAGGATGTTGAGCCCAGAAACAAGCAAACCGCCTGAGACATCCCCACAAAATGGCCGCGAACGAGCCCGTGCAACCACCCCTGGCGGCTCCCCTTAGGGGTGCTGAAACCAGCGCCCCGCCTGAGACATCCTCACAATCTGCTCTCCAAGCGAAGGATGTTGAGCCCAGAAACAGCAAACCGCCTGAGACATCCCCACAAAATGGCCGCGAACGAGCCCGTGCAACCACCCCTGGCGGCTCCCCTTAGGGGTGCTGAAACCAGCGCCCCGCTTGAGACATCCTCCAAATCTGATGTGTGTTGAGTAAGTCTGAGTATGAGTAGGTCTGAGTATGAGTATGCCTGAGTATGAGTAAGTCTGTGTATGAGTAAGTCTGTGTATGAGTAAGTCTGGGTATGAGTAGGTCTGTGTATGAGAAAGTCTGTGTATGTGTACGTCTGGGTATGAAGTAAGTCTGAGTATGAGTAATACTGTGTATGAGTAAGTCTGGTATGAGTAAGTCTGTGTATGAGTACGTCTGGGTGTGAGTAAGTCTGTGTATGAGTAAGTCTGTGTATGAGTATGTCTGAGTGTGAGTAAGTCTGAGTATGAGTAGGTCTGAGTATGAGTAAGTCTGAGTATGAGTAAGTCTGAGTATGAGTAGGTCTGAGTATGAGGAAAGAGGAGGAGGGGAGGAGGAAAGAGGAGGAGGGAGAGGCAGTAGGAAGCGTCCAAGTAATTCGCCGGCCCAACGGGCCAGAGGCGTGCTAAGATCTCCGGTAACTTGTTAACAATATTTCTAGTTCGCGCGCGCGGAGCGGCCCCTGGGGGCCCCCGGACGAAAAGTACCCCGGCAAGGTCCCGAGAGAAGCCCGGGAGAAGCCACCAGACCACTCCAGGGGAGGGTATTTTTCGACACCCCTCACGAGGATCGTGGCCTCCGAGGGGGGAGCCGCAATCGACTACCCCCAAGAGCCCCCCAAGAGGCCCTGGGGGCCTCCAAAACGCCGCCAAGGAGCCCCAAGAGACTCCCAAGAGGTCCCCAAGAGGCATCCAAGAGGCCCTAAAGAGGGCTCCAGGGCCGGCGGCATGAGCGAAGCGATTAAATAACAAGAACCCCATCTTAGGATATGGGGAATAAGAAGAGGCGCCATGAAAGCTGGGGAAATATCAGGGCCCACGCCATGATATCCACCCTCCCCTTGTCATCACCCCCCTCTTTTCCGCCCCCGAGGGGGGGTGGGGAAGACGCTTCGAGCTGGCAGCGGCGACGCATCGTCGCAGCAGATCGGCGCTGGCCTCCGGCCGCGAGACCGCAGGCTCCCGGGCGAGGGGGGGGGCGTCACGGGGCCCCCCCTGGGTGACACCGGCGAGGAGCTGGGGAGGCCAGAGGGTACTCCAGATTTCGTAATAACAGGGAGGGGGTCTGGACCCTCCAAGACAAGCCATTTCAGACCTCCCCCGTGGGAGAACCCTCCAAAACATCGTCCCCAGACCCCCCAGGCCCTCCAAGATAGCCTGGAAGAGACCCCCCCCCGAAATGAGACCCCCCCTCCTTTTATTACGAAATCTGGAGTGCCGAGGCGTCACTCCCGGGACTCCTCCCGGGGTGCGCTCGGCCCAGGCTTTCGAGGCGACTCCAGCCGTGGCGGCGAGGGCCTCCCACGAGGCGGGTCTCTGTACCTGCAGTCGGGGCGTTGACCCAAGGAACCCTAAATAAGGAACGAGGCCCCTTTTTGTCCATAAGTTAGACTTCGATTTCCGATCGAAAACATAAGGAAAACCTGAGGCAAGCTGTGAAACACTTAAGGAACGCGGAGCCCCTCCCCAACCAAAAGGGCTCCTTCTTCAGGGCCCCGACTGTACTCTTCCTCTGATGAGTCGGCGATCGTGGTTCAATGCGCATCCCCCTGGGCCGAAAGTATCCCCCTTCCCCTGGCGTTGCCCCTGGGGGTCCGCGTTGCTCGTCGTGCTCTGCCTGGCGCACCTGGACTGCGGGCTGCCCTCGTGGTCGGACTCCTCCAAGGGCACCGAGCTGGCCTGGCACTGGCCGTTGCTCTCGGATTCGCCGCCTCGGTCTCGCATGACGACAGGGAGGGGGAACGGCCGCATGCGTTCGGTTTTCTCTGGCCCCCTCCCTCCCATCTCCTCTGATTCCCTCCTCCCTCCTCCCTCCTCCCTCCTCCCTCCTCCTTCTCCTCCTCCTTCTCCACCTCCTCCACTTCCTCCTCCACCTCCTCCACCTCCTCCTCCACCTCCTCCTCATGCCTCCTCCCTCCTCCCTCCTCTCCCCCTTCCCTCCTCCATCTGCCTCCCTCCCCCCCCATTTCGTTCGCCTCCTGGTCCCCCCCCTTCCCTCCTCCCCCTGGCGGGGAGGGCACGCGGGCCGCGCGGAAACGCTACAACGCCTGGCCCGGGGTCCCCACTTGCCGAGCGCCTGGGCGGGGCGCAGTGGGGCGACCTGCGTTTCAGACGTGGCGCCTGCGCGTTGCTCGAGGCCTGCCCGCCTCATGGCCTGCAGGGGCTTCGCGAGGAGCTCGAGGCGCTCAAGGCGATGAGCGCGGCCGCGCGCACTGCGCGCAAGGTGGTGGAGCGGCGCACGGGAGCCCCGGTCAGGAGAAAAACTCGGTCCCCGGTTGGACGACTCGCTCCCCGACGACTCGCTCCCCGGCAAAAGTTCCAGGTGTTTTCTCATTGGATGTAGCTTCTGAAAAAATTATCCCGGCAAAGCAACCTAACAGCGATGTGTAGGAGCATATCTGGAAGCATTCCCCTTAAGATTCAGATAAGAACCCTGTTGTAAAATTCTGCTGTTCTTGCAGTCGTGGTCGCATTCGCGATGGCAGTCGCAGTGGCAACAGCAGTCGCAGTCACAGCCTCAGCCTCAGCCTGCCTCAGCCTCAGCCTCAGCCTGCCTCAGCCTCAGCCTGCCTCAGCCTCGCCCTCAGCCTGCTTCAGCCTCAACATCAGTCTGCCTTCAGCCTCGGCCTCAGCCTGCCTCAGCCTCACCCTCAGCCTGCATCAGGCCTCAGCCTGCCTCAGCCTCGCCCTCAGCCTGCTTCAGCCTCAACATCAGTCTGCCTTTAGCCTCGGCCTCAGCCTGCCTCAGCCTCACCCTGCATCAGCCTCAGCCTCAGCCTCAGCCTGCCTCAGCATCAGCCTGCCTCAGCCTCAGCCTCAGCCTGCCTCAGCCTCAGCCTCAGCCTGCTTCAGCCTCAGCCTCAGTCTGCCTTCAGCCTCGGCCTCAGCCTCAGCCTGCCTCAGCCTCAGCCTGCCTCAGCCTCAGCCTCAGCCTCAGCCTGCCTCAGCATCAGCCTCAGCCTCAGCCTCAGCCTCAGCCTCAGCCTGCCTCAGCCTCAGCCTCAGCCTGCTTCAGCCTCAGCCTCAGTCTGCCTTCAGCCTCGGCCTCAGCCTCAGCCTGCCTCAGCCTGAGCCTGCCTCAGCCTCAGCCTCAGCCTCAGCCTCAGCCTGCCTCAGCCTCAGCCTGCTCAGCCTCAGCCTCAGCCTGCCTCAGCCTCAGCCTCAGCCTGCTTCAGCCTCAGCCTCAGTCTGCCTTCAGCCTCGGCCTCAGCCTCAGCCTGCCTCAGCCTCAGCCTGCATCAGCCTCAGCCTCAGCCTCAGCCTGCCTCAGCCTCAGCCTCAGCCTCAGCCTCAGCCTCAGCCTCATCCTGCCTCAGCCTCAGCCTCAGCCTGCTTCAGCCTCAGCCTCAGTCTGCCTTCAGCCTCGGCCTCAGCCTCAGCCTGCCTCAGCCTCAGCCTGCATCAGCCTCAGCCTCAGCCTCAGCCTGCCTCAGCATCAGCCTGCCTCAGCCTCAGCCTCAGCCTGCCTCAGCCTCAGCCTCAGCCTGCTTCAGCCTCAGCCTCAGTCTGCCTTCAGCCTCGTCCTCAGCTTCAGTCTGCCTTCAGCCTCAGCCTGCCTCAGCCTCAGCATCAGCCTGCCTCAGCATTCAAAGTGTGGCCCGGGAATGGAGTTCTGGGAACTCGAAGAACACGAAGTGGCCTACAGTTGGCTCCGGGCATTCAAAATCATGCCCAGGAATGGAGTTCTGGAGAACTCGAAGACCACGAAGTGGCCTACAGTTGGCTCCGGGCATTCAAAATCATGCCCAGGAATGGAGTTCTGGGAACTCGAAGAACACGAAATGGCCTACAGTTGGCTCCGGGCATTCAAAATCATGCCCAGGAATGGAGTTCTGGGAACTCGAACACCACGAAGTGGCCTACAGTTGGCTCTGGGCATTCAAAATCATGCCCAGGAATGGATTCTGGGAACTCGAAGACCACGAAGTGGCCTACAGTTGGCTCCGGGCATCCCAAATGTGGCCCGGGAATGGAGTTCTGGGAAGTCAAGGAGCACCAAGTGTGTGACTGTTGCATCCGGTTATTCAGAATGTGGCCTGGGAATGGGGTTCTGAGAGGTCGACGAGCACGAAGTGTGTGACTGTTGGTGAAAAACGAACCCGGCACAGGCCCGGCCGGCAACTCCCAACGCCTGCCCGGACCCCCCTGTGGAGTGATCTGTGAGCTCTTTTGAGTCAACTAGAAACCTATCAGTCTTCGCTGTTAGGTAAAAAGGTTCTCGGCGGCCGCCAAAAAGGCTCTTGGCGGCCCCTGAGAGGGTTCTTGGCGGCCTCTGAAAAGGTTCTTGGCGGCCCCTGACAAGGTTTCTGGCGGCCCCAAAAAGGTTCCTGGCGGCTCCCAAGAAGGTTCGGCTGTTGGCGGCCCTTGAGAGGGTGCTTGGCGGCCCCTGGGAGGGTTTTCGGCGGCCCCACAAAGGGGTTTCTGGCTGCCCCCCAAAAAGGTTTTATGGCAGTCCAAAATATTATCCCGGCAAAGCAACCTAACAGCGATGTGTAGGAGCATATCTGGAAGCATTCCCCTTAAGATTCAGATGAGAATCCAGTTGTAGAATTGTGCTGTTCTCGCAGTCGTAGTCGCATTCGCGATGACAGTCGCAGTGGCAACGGCAGTCACAGACACAGCCTCAGCCTCAGCCTGCCTCAGCCTCAGCCTCAGCCTGCCTCAGCCTCAGCCTGCCTCAGCCTCAGCCTCAGCCTGCTTCAGCCTCAGCCTCAGTCTGCCTTCAGCCTCGGCGTCAGCCTCAGGCTGCCTCAGCCTCAGCCTGCATCGGCCTCAGCCTCAGCCTCAGCCTGCCTCAGCATCAGCCTGCCTCAGCCTCAGCCTCAGCCTGCCTCAGCATTCAAAATGTGGCCCGGGAATGTAGTTCTGGGAACTCGAAGAACACGAAGTGGCCTACAGTTGGCTCCGGGCATCCAAAATCTGGCCCGGGAATGGCCTACAGTTGGCTCCGGGCATTCAAATTCATGCCCAGGAATGGAGTTCTGGGAACTCGAAGACCACGAAGTGGCCTACAACTGGCTCCGGGCATCCAAAATCTGGCCCGGGAATGGAGTTCTGGGAACTCGAAGACCACGAAGTGGCCTACAGTTGGCTCCGGGCATCCAAAATGTGGCCCGGGAATGGAGTTCTGGGAACTCGAAGACCACGAAGTGGCCTACAGTTGGCTCCGGGCATTCAAAATGTGGCCCGGGAATGGAGTTCTGGGGACTCGAAGACCACGAAGTGGCCTACAGTTGGCTCCGGGCATTCAAAATGTGGCCCGGGAATGGAGTTCTGGGAAGTCAAGGAGCACCAAGTGTGTGACTGTTGCATCCGGTTATTCAGAATGTGGCCTGGGAATGGGGTTCTGAGAGGTCGACGAGCACGAAGTGTGTGACTGTTGGTGAAAAACGAACCCGGCACAGGCCCGGCCGGCAACTCCCAACGCCTGCCCGGACCCCCCTGTGGAGTGATCTGTGAGCTCTTTTGAATCAACTAGAAACCTATCAGTCTTCGCTGTTAGGTAATAAAAACTCCTGGCGGCCTTTAAAAAAGGTTCTTGGCTGCTCCCAAGGAGATTATTGGCGGCCCTTGGGAGGGTTCTTGGCATTCTTGGCGGCGTCTGAAAACGTTCCTGGCGGCCCCTGGGAGAGCTTTTGGCAGCCCCTGAACTTGGCTCTTGGCGGCCCCTGAAACGGCTTTCTGCGGCCCCTGAGAAGGTTCCGGAAAGCCTCTGAAAGGGTTCTTTGCGGCCCCTGAGAGGGTTCTCGGCGACCCCTGAGAGGGTTCTTGGCGGCCCCTAGAAGGTTCCTGGCGGCCCCCAAGAAGGTTCTTGGCGGCCCCTGGGAGGGTTCCTGGCGGCCCCCAAGAAGATTCTTGGGCCCTTGAAAAAAGTTTCTGGCGGCCCCTGAAACGGGTTCTGGCGGCCCCTGAAAAGGGCTCTTGGCGGCCCCCGGGAGGGCTGTTCTTGGCGGCCTCTGAAACGGTGTTCGGCGGCCCCTGAGAAGCCTCCTGACGGCCCCTGCAAGGGTTCTTCGCAGCTCTTGGGGGGGTTCTTGGCGGCGCCTCGAACGGTTCTTGGCGGCCCCCGGGAAGGTTCTTGACAGACTCCTAAAAAGGCTCTTGACAAGTCCCAAGAAGTTCTCGGCGTCCCCTGAAACGGTGTGTGGCGACCCCTGAACGGCACTTCGGCGGCCCCTGAAATGGTTCTTGGCGGCTTTCTGAAAAGGTTCTTGGCGGCCTCTGAGGTAGCTCTTGGCGGCCCCTGAGAGGGTTCCTGGTGGCTCCTGGGAAGGTTTTTGGCGGCCTCTGAGAGGGCTCCTGGCGGCCCCCAAGAAGGTCCTTGGCGGCCCCTGAGAAGGTTCCCGGCGGCCCCAAGAAGGTGCTCGGCGGCCCCCAAGAAGGTCTTTGGCTGCCCCCAAGGAGGTCTGCCCTTAAAAAGGGCTCTTGGCGGTTCCAGAGAGGGTTCTCGGCGGCCCCTGGGAGGGCGCCTGGCGGCCCCTGAGAGGGCTCTTGGCGGCCCTTGAAAGGGTTCTTGGCGGCCTCTGAGAGGGTTCCTAGCGGCCCCTAAGAAGGTTCCTGGCGCCGCCCAAGAAGGTTCCTGGCGCCGCCCAAGAAGGTTCTTGACTGCCCCCGGGTAGGTTCTCGGCGGCCCCCAAGAAGGTCCTTGGCGGCCCCAAGACGCCTCTTGGCGGCCCCTGTGAGGGTTCTCGGCGGCCTCTGGGAAGGCTCT